GTGTGCCACTGTGCCCTGCTGTTCCTGATCTTGAGAGTGGTTTTCAGAATGGTTGTACTAATTTGCCATTCCCACATAAAAAAATGTGTAAGTGTACCTTTCCCCCCCACATCCTTGCCAACAGTTATTATTATTTGTATTTTCAATGACTGACATTCTATTTTGAATGAGATGAAACTATATAGTTTTGATTTTTATTTCCCTGATTACTAGAGATGTTGAACATTTTTTCATATATTTTTTGACCATTTGTATTTTTTTTATAAAAAAACTGGATATCCATATGTAGAATGAAAGTAGACCCCTGCCTCTCAACTCTACACAAAAATCAACTTAAAGTGGACCAGAAACACTGAAACTGTTAGAAGAAAACACAGGGTCAACACTTCAGCATATTAATGCAGAAACCATATTCCTTGATAAGACTCCTAAAAGCTCAAGAAATAAAACCAAGAATCAGTAAGTGGGATAGAGTCAAATTAAAAAGCTTCTGTGCAGCAAAGGAAACAATTAAGAGTACATTTTTCTTTTGGCTTTGATTTGTTTTTTGGATTCTTGTCTCACTGTTCCTGCATTGTTGCTTCCTTTCTATCCTTGAGAAAAAATTTTGGAAGGCTAAATTGACAAGACTCTTCTCCTCGTGCCTTATTTATTTGACTTTGCTCTTCTTATAAGTCTGTTTCTTTCTGTCTCAGACTTACTATATGATAAGGCTCATGTTTTCCTTTCATTAGCATGAACATTTTAGTGACTCATCTTACATTATAGGATTTAGAAAGTTGATATTAAATTTTAATTTCTGTTAAGAAGAATGTGGTATGTCTCCTATCTTACTTACATATTTTTCTTGTTTGAGACGCATGGATTGCAAAGATCAGAATGAATGAATTTTGTACTTTGGGTTAAATGAAAAAATTTAAGACATTTGAACAGTGATTACTAGGGCATTCATACTAAGACATGCTATATAGCCATTTAAAAGATTGTTACATGCTATCAATAATATGTAGCTGAGTATAAAAGCAAATTAGAACAGTAGGTATAAAATGAACTCATATTTGTTTAAGCCACTCCCCAAACCCCTCAAATTAATATATTTATCTCCTTGTTTGTGCATAGGTAAAAGTCTCAAGGATATAAACTAAGTTTTCAGGGCTTGGATTGTGGCTCAGTGGCAGAGTGCTTGCCTTGCACATGTGAGGCAGTGGGTTCGATCCTCAGCACGACATAAAAATAAATAAACAAAATAAAGATATTGTGTCCAGGGACTGGGGTTATGGCTCATCGGTAAAGCGCTCGCCTTGCACGTGCAAGGCCCTGGGTTCAATCCTCAGCACCACATATAAATAAATAAAATAGAGTTTTTAAAAAAAAGATATTGTGTCCATGTATAACTAAAAAAAATTTAAAAAAATAAGTTTTCAGTTTATATTAATTTATTATCTTAGTAATAGATAATATCAAATAATTTTCTTTACATGTGATTTCCGCTAAGGAATTGCTTAATTTAAAAATTATAAAAGCATTGGTTTTTAAATATAATGTGATATTAAAATCTATAATGTGGGCTGGGGATGTGGCTCAAGC